GTATGTACACCGTGCGATGTACGAGACAATCTTTATAAATTAGTTGTATTATAGCATTTAAATTGATTAATATAAAAATATTTTTGAATATTAATATTAATTTTCTTATTTTATTTATGACATATAATAGTTTAATATATGATATATATTTATTTCACTCGTTATAAAATAGACTGTCATTTTAGAGTTCATGTTTATTATAAAGGATAATAAAATGTAACATATTTAAAATTACGAATAAATATTTTTCACATAATATTTCTCTCTCTCTCTCTCTATCTCTCTTACACACACATATACTTATAATAATATTTTATATCGCTTTCTAAATAAGTAACGCTAAAGTTAGAAGTTCGTGTCAAATATTATAACCAACACTTAATTGAAAAAGATTATAATATATAACTTTAAAGTTAAAAAATATTAATTTTTAATTACTTCAATATTATTTAAATTTTCGTGATCTTACAATAATTTATATTATAAATTTTTTAAATTTTCTTTCTTGAATAGTATAAAACAATACTTTTTTATTATGACGAAGGTGTGGTGGAACTAGTATCGCTAGTAGAGGAAGAGCCAGTGGTATGGCTCGTAGCGGAGGAGTTATTGTGGGTCGGAGAGGTAGATTGTTCTAAGGGGTGTGAAGGTGAAGTAACGATAAAATGCAAAGCAAGGAGTATGATAAATAAATGAAACAAAAAAATACAAACATCATGAGAAGGTGCATTACATAGATAATTTTTACAAGTAAAGTAGTGAGACGAGGTGAGCGTACCCAAGAAAGATGCCGAAGCCGACATAGTGTACGAATGGAAGAGTGCTCATCGGGCTCGATTGGTTGTAGGCACGTGGTCGTCGGCGAGAGGTCGTCGGCGGGAGGTCGTTGGGACGGCTTGGGCGTGGGGTCGTCGGGATGGTGCGTGGACGGCAAGAACACGGGCTCGTCGGGATGGTGCGTGTCGGGTGATGTGTGCTCGTCGGTGTTATGAGCTCGTCGAAGGGTGGCCACCGGAATTCAACTAAGGGTTGATTGCTCTCTTTTTTAGAGAGAGAAATTATGTAGGAGAGACATTTTGGGAGAGGAGAAGTGATGAATGGAAGAATGAGAGATGTGTATTTATAGAGGGGGAGTAGGTTTTGATTGGTCTTGGGTCATCTTGGCCCTTGATTTAAAAATCAATCAATGGTGGAGAGTGAGACTTGTGTGGGAAGCCATGTAAGGTTTTCAAGAAAGCCATGTGATGGAGATGGACATTTGATGGAGAGAGGAAGCATGTGATGGTAGTAGCTAGGCACATGTTCATATGTACATGGACTAGAATCCAAAAAATAAGGAAGGGTAAAATGAAAGGAGCCAAATAGTGATGAGAGAGCCATGTGTGTTCGGCATTAGCACCACGACATCCTCACTAGCTTGGCATTCTTGGCAGGTCAACACGGTGTGCGCGAGTGCTCAGCACTAGCGTGGGTGCTCGGCATGGGCGTGACGACCCCGGCGCGAGAGGTGCTCGGCATGGGCGTGACGGCCCTGGCGCAAGAGGTGCTTGGCATGAGTGCTCGGCCTCGGCATGGGGGTGCTCGGCTTTGGGGCGGGTGCCCGACTTTGGAGGGTGCTTGGTTTTGGCGAGTGCTCGGCTTTGATGGGTGCTCGACTTCGGCAGGTGCCCGGCATTGGAGGAGTGGTCGGCATGGGGTGCTCGGTCTTAGTAGGTGCTCAGCGGGTGCTCGGCTTCGGGGTGTTTGGTCTTGGGAGGCGCCCGATGTAGAGGTGTGCGGCTTGGTGAGGTGCATGGTGTTTCACGCGCGGACTTGCGTGATGACAAACGTGTGTGAGGGAGGTAGGCACAACGGTCACGATGATGCGTGTAATTCTTCATTCCTTACAACAAGATCAACTTGTCTAAGGAATGGGGGACTAGATGATGTGGTCGTTAGTAGTGGCTCGTGAGGGATCGGTTGTGATCCGGTCACCACTGTCATAAGAAAGGGACCGACTAGGCATTATGGCAGTCGGTCAGCTGGGTGAGTTTGGCGTCTCCGCATGCCCGACGCTCTTGAATGCTCGGCGGCCCCGAGTGCTCGGTGTCCTTGTGTGCTCGGCGGCCCTCGTGTG